GTTAAGTAATTACACAATTGTCTAGTGGCATGAGTCTTCTGGGATACGATACTTGGTCTTACCATTTTATATTACTTGATACGATTCGGTACACTTGCCGATATCTTAACAAGTTTTTGGCGTCGTTGCTGGGGACTCGTGGTTTAAACTATACTTTTGTGTGATTCTTAACCAATTAGACTTTATCTTTAATTTTATCTTTTTATCTTTAATTATATCTTATTGTGTTTTTTTTATCTGTTGGGCTAATTGGGTGTTATAGTGTAGTATTTTTTAGTCTCTGCAGGATGAAATCCGAAAATCTGTACTAGGAGCACAAGATCATCAGAATCTTTCTTTTTAGGTTTGGAAGTAGAGAAGACTGCCAATAGTAGATGAAGAAGGCAAATAATGAAGGGAAGTTAGTTCACCAGTGAGATACAAGAACATGTTATGGGTGATTAAAGCATCTACTAATGGATGCTACTAGATTGAGCATCTACTGATGGTCAAGATAATTGATCATTAACTTATAATTGTTTCAAAGGATTGTATTTGCCTCTTTGATTTCTTTTCATTAGTTCTAGTAGAATAAACGCTTATAAACCCTTCTTTTCCTTTAAGCACAAGCAATGTGGGACTCTCATGGCTTGCTCTTAAAAGAAAACAAGAGGAAGAAAGGCGTGTTAGATGGAAGTGTAGCATAGCTTTTCTTCTTTGTTTTGAACTTTAGGATAACTAGTTGGCTTATAAACCCTTTAGGATGAAGGGAATTAAACAATGTGGGACTCAAAGCACCTTAGGAGCTGCTGGCCGGCGTTGAGACTAGAAGTCCCACATCTCTTAATTCCACTCTCCAAACTCACTCCAAGGGCTATATAAGAAGGCTTAGGGTCTCCTTTTGGATTAACTTCAAAATTGAATGAATTCTTTGAGTTGAATTGCAAATTTGCATTCCTCTTGAGATAGTTTTCTGTCTCTAGTCCATTTTGGACAGAACTTATCTTGCGCAAAGCGAGTGGTGGTCCTTCTTCGACACTTATCTTGGAGTCCTCTCTCAAGTGGCGTGTCTACGAGTCATAAGTTTCCTCCTCCTTTCTCTTTTCCGCTTTTATTTTCCATTCATTCTTTTAAATGTCATTAGTATACTTCTCTCTAGGCATGCACTTCTCCATCATGAGTAGTGAACTGTTTATCTTGATTTGAGATAAGCGACTGGATGTAGGATTGGTAAGATCCGAACCAGGATAAAATCATCTCTATAAATTTCTCTCTTTATTTGTTATTTTTATTTGCTTGGTAAGTTTAATTGAGTAGAAATTAAAAGTCACACGTTCGTATTAAAAACCCTCTTGGTCGTTATCCTACGCTAACAATTCCGCTGTAGTCGCTTTGACAATTGATATCAGAGCTCGATTTGATAGTTATTCAAATGGCAGGATCAGTTCAAACTTTGCAGAGGGTGCTTCTATCAATAGACCACCCCTATTCACAGGTGAAAATTATGCATTCTGGAAGGTAAGAATGCAAATATTTATTAAGTTTATTGATTGTTATATAGTGGGAAGTTATTGCATTTGGTCCGTCTGCTTCTATTGACAATATGCATGAACCAAAGCCCCGTGTTCAGTGGACTGCTGAAGAAAAGAAAAGGTTTCAAAATGATGTGAAAGCTCGAAACATTATTTCATCTGCTTTAACCGTTGATGAGTTTTACAAGATCTCTTTTTGTAAGACCGCTCAAGAGATATGGGAAGTGTTGAGAGTGACCCATGAAGGTACAAATGACGTAAAGAGAGCCAGAAAGAATACCTTAATCCAAGAATACGAAATGTTCAAGATGAAGCAAGGCGAAACAATCTCAGAGGTTCAGAAACGCTTCACCAACATCGTTAAAGGACTCTAGCCTTAAAATCTGAGGTAGAAAGGAGCAAGAACAAAATAAAAGATGAAGACTTAAAAGATGAAGAAAATTTGAGAATCATGATAAAAAGACTCAATAGATTCATGAAATCAAAAGACAAAGGAAGATTTAAATACGAAAAGAGAGAAAATCAAGGATTTTCCTCAAACTATAGATGTTATGGTTGCGGAGAAAGGGGGCACTTAAAAGCTAATTGCCCAAATCAAAAGAAGGATGAAGAAATAAAAGAAAAGAAGTTCTTCAAGAAAAAGAAAGCCTACATCGCATGGGACGATGACAACGAAACAATTTTTGACTTGAGCAATTCTGATGAAGAAGCAAACATCTGTTTAATGGCGGACGACGACACTGTTGGAAGCCAAGTAAGTACATCTAGCGATTCTGATAATTATAAACAAAATAGTGAAGATGAATTACATGAAACTTATGCTGCTTTAATAGTAGAATCTGAAAAATTAGATAAAGCTCATAAGAAATTGAAAAAGGATTTCAAAGAATTAAAATTAAATTTTGAAAATATTTTTGAAGAAAATAAAAATTTAAAATTAAACTTTGAAAATATTTTTGAAGAAAATAAAGATTTAAGAAATAAAATTTCCTATCTAGAAAAAGGAAAATTTGTTAGTAATGATGAATGTATATATTGCATAAATATGAATAAATTACAAGAAATAACGCATGCTGAAAGTAGTAAAAATAATTCAAATGGTAAAACGGTGGATAAAAATGTTCCTAAATATAATTATAATTACTACGATTATGATTATGGTAGAAAAATTGAAAATGTTCCTAAATATAATTATAGTGATTATTATTATAAAAATAAAATCAAGTATGTTCCAAAATATAATCAAAATTATTATGATTATAATTATAAAAATAGAAATTATAGGAACCCAAATGATGTTACTTCTTTTTATTGCATGACAAATGGTCATACATCAAATAATTGTAGAATAAAATAGTATGGTGTTCCAAATGAAATATATGCATGGATTCCAATTATAAAATAATTTGTCTCTAACTTTAAAGGACCCAAATAAGTATTTTTGGGTACCAAAATATTCTTTTTTCTATTTTGCAGGTTATTCCAAAATTAAGGAAGAAGTTTTTGGTTGTGCACCAAAACTTGGTAAAGTATGATTTGTCAAATTAAGGGGGAGTTTTTAACTTGAAAAGAAAATTTTGATAATTTTTTTTAACTACTTCTCTTTCTTCCTTAAAGAATCAAATGCAATTTAATTCTGTTTTAGTGATTCAATAAAGAGGAGTATTTCTTTATCCTGTTTTTATTTATTATGATTTTTAAATTTATTCTATTTTCTATGTTTTGAATTATGTCTCCAATTTCCCTTTGATAAAAATTATGATAATTGTTATTTATTTGTTTGTGAGTTATATTCAAGGGAAGTTCTTATATTTAGAGGGAGAAATTTTTTTATATCATACATAATGCCTTTTTAATAATGATCAAAAAGGGGAAGAAATATGTTTCAAGGCTTAATTATATTTATCTTTTGTCTACTAATTTCTCTTCTTTAAGTTATGTATGAGTTAAAGATCAGTACACGTTACAAAAAACATTAAATTAAAATATTTTGATCATCATAAAAAAGGGAGAGATTGTTAGCATAAAGCTAAAGAGATAAATTTTGATGATGTCTCAAAGTCAAGTCTCAAGTGCTCTTATTGCAGGAAGATCTTCATGAAGACTTGTTTTTATATTAAAGCTTTTATAATTTAGTAGATTTATGTATAAGATGTGGTTTATATTTGATTCTATGTATTGTTTGACTTAAGTTGCGTTAAAATTTATTTTGAATTAGAAATCCTGATTTTATACTCAAGATAATTTATTATCAATTTATAATAATTGATTATCAATAATCAATTATGACTTTCCATAATTGATTATAATGAGCAATTATAAGAATTTTTGAGCAAGTTTTTTTATCGTTGTGCATTCATTAAATGCATAATTAATTACCATAATTGGATAATTGATTATCACACGTTAATTAGTTGACAACGAATTTTTGGAGGTATCCTTGAGTGAGATCTCTATAAATTAGATTGAGACTCTCATTCTAAAATACGAAATAAGCGTATTTTGAAAAATCTTATCTAGAGTGTGCGGTGATAAGTGTTCTAGGGTTTGTTGAACCCTTGTGTTGTGGGTTTGAGAACTTGGTGTGTTGGCATAGAGCGAGAACTTTCACAAGGAGTGTGATTTAGTGTTGTTGTTGTTGTTGTTGTTGCTGAGTTAAAAGCCTATCATCCTTCGTGAAGCATTCGGAGGAGGTGTTCATCCTTTGTGAAGATTCAGAGGAGGTGTTCTGCAACCTTCTCTTCTGGTGCCCCAGAAAGGGGCGCCCAAGCGTCCTACGACCTTCTGCAGCCTTCTCTTCTGGTGCTCTTTCTGTCCTTTCTAAGTTCCAACTTCTTGACAATTTAACTCCTCTTCCAATTCATCCCAGTTTCGTACAAAATCAAGGAAATTCAGTGATAAAATCTTCAAGTATAAATAACTGTCAAAAAGAGAACAAGCAAGTTTCTAAGTCAAAAAGGCTTCATTTATTATCAAAATTTAATCCCAAATAACGGTGAAATCAAATGTTATAGTAGGTATGAGCTCATTATTTTCATGATAAATAACTGTCATCCTACCTTTCTTTGGAACCACCTGCACTGGGCTTACCCATGCACTATCAGAGATGGGATATATAATACCAGCCTCCAGAAGCTTCAGAACTTCTTTTCTAACTTCCTCCTTCATCACATGATTCAATCTTCTCTATGGTTGAGCAACTGGTTTAAAATCATCTTCCATGAATATCTTGTGCATGCAATAAGTGGGGCTTATACCTTTAAGATCCGAAATTGACCAACCAATTGCTTCTTTGTTGGCTTTTAATACTTCAACCAACTTTTCTTCTTCCTTAGAGGATAAATAATTACTGATAATGACAGGTTTATTTCCACCTTCCTCTAAGAAAACATACTTCAAGTGTGGTGGTAACATCTTCAACTCAAGTTTCTTTTCCTTGACTTTTTCCTTGGCATTAAAATCTTCAATTTTTGCCTCATGAAAAGGAATTTATGTTAGCACATCCAAGTCAGTCAAGCACTCATCAATCAATTTCTCTTCCTCATTGTTCAAGGCTTCAAAAGCATCAATGAGGGTTTTCTCCAAGGGGGAAGCAACACGTACCAACTTCTCTTGAATCATACATACTTCATCAAATGTGTCAAAATGAAAACATGCCTTATCATCATTTGGGTGAGACATGGCTTCAAACACATTGAAATTCACCTCTTCATCCTGTACTCTTACTTTGAGTTTTCCATTCTCCATATCAATTAATACTCTAGCAGTCTTCATAAATGGTCTCCCAAGAATGAGAGGCACATCCACATCCTCCTCCATCTCCATGATGACAAAATCCACAGGGAATAGAAATTTATCCACTTTAACAAGCACATCTTCAACCACCCCATGAGGGTATATCAGGGATCTATCTACTAATTTGAGAGTCATACGAGTAGGCTTAAGTTCCAAGCCTCCAAATGTTTTAAACATAGAGAGAGGCATCAGATTAATGATAGCTCCCAAATAAATCAATGCCCTTCCAACGACCAACTTTCCTATGATACACAGGATGGTGAAACTACCCGGATATTTAAACTTAGGAGGTGAAAGCTTTTGTATGACAGCACTGCAATTTCCTTGTACTTCAATAGTTTCCTCTTCAATGTATTTCCTCTTTTTCGTAAGGAGTTCCTTCAAAAAAAATTCATGTGAATGCATTTGTTGAAGTGCTTCAAAGAATGGTATGTTAATCTCATATTTCTTGAAAATTTCCATGAAACACTCAAATTGGTTTTCTTTTTCCTTCCTTGAATGGACTTTAGGATAAGGAAGGGGCTTCTCAATTGCTTTTCCTTTTTCTCTCTCTTCACTCTCTTTTTCTTTTACCTCATCCTCTCCATTCTCTTTTTCTTTCTTTTTCTCATCCTCTTCTTTTCTCTCTGCCACATAATTCAAGACCCTCCACATAGGCATTTCAGATTTAGTTATATTATAATTTAGTTGTTTAGGACTTTTTGAACCAACTTGTGCATTTTTGGGCCAATGTTGGCAAAGTAGGTAGAAAGAGGAGACACATTGTATCCTTTTAAACTCGGGGTCACAGCAGCACGTTGGAGAAGCATGAAGCGGTAGTTTAACTGAATTGAAAGCACATAGAGGAGAGGATGGAGGGTTACGGCTAAAGGAGTTCGTCGAGCAGGGAATGAATTTTTATCATTTTACTTTGCTTAGAAAAAGAAGGATACGTTGGTTCATTATTTTGTGTCTTTCCATGATTATTATTCGGTTTTCTTTATTTTGAATACAATCGGCTGCTCACTTTTTCTTAATTCAATAGTTGATTTTTAATTCACGAAAGATGCATTTATGCTTTAGTAATTTCATGTCCAAGCTGTAATGTGCTTATGCTGAACGTTGTTTTATTATTCACGTCAAAGCATTTCTTATTTCTATATTGCATTTTAGTTTATTCACACCAAGGGGAATTGAGATTTGTCCTTGCTGCACGCGCTTGCTTCCAACGCTAATTTCTTTTGGAATGAAGAGCACATTTCATTTTCTTGCATTTAGTAAAAGGGACGTTTTGGGAGAGGTAATATATGGTGATGGACTTTTAATTTCTTTCTTGGAGAAAAGCATGTGACTTTATTTGGAGAGCTCCACAAGCTTGCATTTTAATTTGTCACGCATCTTGAGCATTTAATTTTACTTCCTAGCTACATTGTGCATTTAATGTTTTAGCTTATGCGTTGCATTTAATTACAATACCATGTTTTTCTTTATTATCTGCTGAATTTTAGTTAGTTCACACATCTTGTTTTAGGATCGTTCAGTTTACTGTTTCCGTTCACTATGTTGTCTATTTTGTTCGGCTTCTTTATCTTCCTGTATTTCCAATTTCCTCACTTGCTTTAGAGACCGTTCGGTCTCAATGTAGAACCGTTCGGTCATCTGTAGGACCGTTCGGTCTTCATGCTTTGTTCATTTATTTCAATGTTTTCAATTATGTTTGGTTGTATTTAATTTCTAGTTTTAATTTATATCATTTCTAATCACAAAAACACTTTCAAACCCCCCCTCCCCCACTATGTGTTTGACCTAAGCCTCGAACCACATTTGGTCATTGAAAGACGACCTAGGAGTCACTTCCTAGTCTATACTGCATTCTTAATGCACATTAAATTTGTATGGGGTGCGACACTCATCACTTCATCTGGAGTCTTGTTCTTGATGTTACCTTCAGCTAAGGCATCCAACATCAATTTAGTTTGTGATTTTAATCTTCCATGAAAAAGAATGACTACTGTAGGTTCATCAAATCCATGAGTAGGAGTTTTCCGCAATAGGCCTTTCAATTTATCCCATGCTTGACCTAGGTTTCATCCATGCCCTGCTGGAAAGAGGAGATTTCATGCTTCCCTTTGTTTATCTTGGACTAAGGGAAGTACTTTTTCAGAAACTTAGCCACCACATCTTCCCACTCAATGAAGTTATTCTTTGGGAATGAATTTAGCCACATCTTAGCATTGCCTCCCAAAGAGAAGGGAGACAAGCTAAGTTTGATAGCTTCATCTAGCACACCATTAATCTTCTCTATATTGCATATTTCATTGAAAGATGTCAGATGTTCATATGGATTTTCATGAGCTAAGTGATAAATCATTATTTTGTACTATTCACTTAGCTTTCAGCACCAAATTTTATTAGTGAATTGTGTTTAATTCTCCATTATTTTCTCATTTCCACTAAATGGGCTTAATTTGATCAGTAATTCATATTTTAAATTAATTTGGATTATTTGAATCTAATTATTCTAATTATTAATTGCAGAACAATTTTGGAATTATGGTTAGGACTTCAAGAGGGCTGCAACACAATTTAATTTCATTTTGTAATTTTATTTATGTTAGTTTTGGGCCAGATTTGACTTTTGGGCCTATTTTTTGTCAATATTTTGTAAGAAGCCCATATAGAGGGCATTTTCGTCTTTTACCCTTTTCAAACCCCAAATCAGATTTGGGAAAGCTCTCTCCCCCTCATTTTTTCGTTTTTCTCCTCTAGGTTTCAAGCTTGGGACGTTTTCTTCTACCCCGCCTCCCTTTGGGGGGTTTAGGATCTTTCTTTCCTTTCCCTCTTTTGATGTATTGAACCTTGTTTTTAATTTCAATTGCAATTTCGTTTCTTGCTACCTATTTAATTTCTGTCTTCTATTTTAGTTTCATTTACCTATTCCATTTCGCTTAGTTCATGAAACTGTATGGTGCAGAATTGATTGAATGTGTGCATTGTGTTTGTTGAATTCGCTTAGTTAGTTAACTTGTGTTGGATTAGGGGTTAGAGTAGTGTGTTGTTGGTTAATTTGTGATTGGAAACATTGTAATTGAGTTAGTGATGAACCGTTTTTAATCTGTGTTGAATTCGAGTTTTAATTTAGTGCATTTCATACTACAAAACTCTCCAATAACCACCCCCCACCACGTGTTCGATCTAATTCATAAACCACATTTGGTCCTTAAGAGACGACCTAGGAGTCACTTCCTAGTATTATACTGCACTTAATTGCATATTAAATTTGATTCGAGTACGACCTCGATCACTAATCCATTAAACTAATGACTATGTACCAAGTGAATGAGAGCATGTTTCATCTTCTTGCTTGTGGCATTAACCCTTGGCCTTGCAATGCTATTAAAATGAAGAGGACCTGTGACTGTTGCATAATCTGCCAGGGGACGTCTACCATTTTGATTGTTAGCCATATCTTCTGTCTCCTGGTCAGATAATGTGAAAGGCTGTTGAAGAGTCTCAGGAGATGGAAAAAGTTCTCTAGAAATCCTTTTCTTCTTTCTTCTTCTACTATTTTCCAGACATGTAAAAAGAGGTTCAGATAGTTTTGTGCTCCTAGTGCAAATCTTGTCCTGCATACACTAAAGAACACCACACTAGAGCACTAAATTAGCCCAAACAAATAAAATTTTTAAAAATAAAAAATAAAAAAAATAAAGAAAAAGTCTAAACAAATTAAGAATCTCACAAAAGTATAGTATGACCATGAGTCCCCGGCAATGGCGCCAAAAACTTGTTAACTCATTGGCAAGTGTACAAAATCGTATCAAGTAATATAAAATGGTAAGACCAAGTATCGTTTCCCAAGAGACTCGTGTTACTTAATAGTTGCGTAATACCTTAATTAATTAAGACTTAAAAGCTATTTTGTTGGTGATTAAATGCAAATGCAACAAAAGTAAATATGAATGTAAATTGATCAATTGAGGCTTGACACAAGAATGAATGGATGAAGTTGATAATATGAGATGATGATGTTGTTGAGGTTAGATTTCACCTACTTCACATTCATGCATATTAGAATTCATCTTCTTCATTGGAATGTTAATGTCACTTACAAAATTACTTAGAACCCGATCTCTCGGCGTAAAAAGCCTAGTCTTCATTATTAGACCTCAATTCCTTGAATCCCTAATAATCAATTCCACATTAAGAAAAGAAGCTTAAGACAACCAAACATCCTATCCCTATCCACTACAAGAAATAATGAAATTACATACGGAACATTATATACGGATCTAAATCCATATATAAGTCAGGTATTATATACAGAAGTTATGTACGGATATCAGAAAAGGCGTTATATACGGATGTTATATACAAATTTTTCCGTATATAAATTTCGTATAAGAAGTTGGCGCGTGGTGGCGGGAAAATTACCTAAGGATATATCCATATATAACCCGTATTATCTGTATGCAGTTAGAACCAAGTTGTTAACTGCGGATATTATATACGGATGTTGGAAATAATTTTTTAAAAGAAATGTTTTTCTGATTGATTGGATGCTCAAGCTGTTATCACTGTCATTTTGAAGCTTTTTCCCCTCTTTCTCAAACCCTACGAACTATCTTCTCACTCTTTAACTCTCTTCGCTCTCGAACCCTCTTCTCTGTCGAGCCCTCTTCATCAATCCTTCATCAACCACTGTCACCTTTCCTCTCCAACCATCAATCAGCTCTCGTCTCGAACCTTCAGTCACCTCTCCTCTCGAACCTCTCTTCTCTACAACTGTCGGTCGACTTCTCCCGTCGCGAGCCCTGTTAATCATTATGTCGAACCTCTCTTCGCTGTAGCTGTCGGTCGACTCCACCCCTCTTTTGTCGAACCCTATCATGTCGTAAATCATTCTTCTCTCGAGCCCTAACTCATTCTTCTGTCGAGCCCTAAATTTGGTAAGTGATTCTTCTCTTCCTTCATTTTTCCGGTAATCTGTAATGCCTAGATATCTTTAAAATTGAACCCTAATCTGTGTTAATTTTATTTTAATTGGCCCATTTTTGGTTCGTCTGGCAAGACATAGTTGGATTTTGATGAGACATGGATTGAGGATGTTGTGTTGCGGATTAAGCTGAGACATAGAACTTGGTGCTACGAAGGCCGAAGGAACCAGAAAAAGGTGTTTTTAATTTCCTCTCTTGCTCACCTTGGTATGCAATGTACTTCGGTATATATATATATATATATATATATATATATATAATGTTAATTTTTGAGTATTGTGGACTGTATTAAGTATGTAAAGTCGTGAATGTTATGATATATGTTAGTGTAATGCATGGACATGAATTTATGGATATTCTGCATTGCTAGAGTTGGTTGCCTTGTATTATAGCCTTTTTGAATCTTAAACTGGTGTAATATGTTGTTTTTATTTGGTTTAGAATTTTCTGGTGTAAAGTCAAAGAAGTCCTCTGGTTCAAAGGACTCTAGCTTGCTTCCTTCAGATCATCCTTCCTTTGTTCCTTCATTATAAGGAACTTTTTCTTCTAGAGTAGTGGTAACAAATTAAGTATGCTCTCAAGAGGTTTCCTGTTATGGCTATTGTTGTTGTTGTTGAGGTAGTGGTGTTGGAGTTTACTAAGTTTTTTTTATGGTGGTGTTAGTTGTTATGGTTGTGGTTGATC